GGCGAGAAGAGACTATCCAACTACTGGAACGGGAAAGAGATTAACAGCGTCATCGAATGGAGGAAAGCCAACAAAACGAGATCGACGGCAACTGAAGGACAGAGAAGACGATATAGACAGCCTGAGACAGCAACTTCGACGTCCTCAAACGAGCAACAGCATGTCCTTGCGGGAGACCCCAGCACCAAACAACCATGCTGTCGCTCCAAAAGTGAAACTGGACAAGTATGATTAGAAATCATCAATTTTCCAGTGGTGGCTTAAGTTTATGACTTTTATTTCGTTGCAGAAACTATCGGAATCATTAGCCATTGACACTTTGCCCTTTTATAACTTAACGGGGGCAGCAGAAAATTGGTATTTTTCTTTAGATGCATCCATAATATGTTCTTTAGACTCTATCAGACAGACCATCCGCAACCGTTTTAAGCAATCATCCAGCCACAACCTACAGCTGATGGACGCCAAGCAGAAAGACGTCGAGAAAGTTGATGACTTTATTCATCGTGTCACGTCCCTAACAACTGATAGAAAGGTGGATCCTGGATGGTCAATTACCGTCATTATGAATGGTTTAAAACCCGACTTGAGTGCCGATGTAATAAAGGCTGACCCACAGACACTGGAAGAGTTGAAATGTTGCAGCGAGGGCAGAGATGGCTGAGCTTTAAATTTATCTATTTGAATTAATAATTAAAATGTTTCATTTAATCAAGTTTTGAAAAAAAAAATTACCAACCGTAATAGAATCTTCCAAAATAGTACTCATTTTTTATATTTATTTTCTAAAATCTAAATTAAAAAATAGCAAATAAAGTTTGTAAATATTGTGTCTCTCTAGAGCAATAATCACTTCCAATATCAATCATATTTCCCCCAAAAAGTTTGAAAATTGATGAGGTACAAATATATATATAGATCATGGAGACAAACTGGAGGATGAATGAGAAAGAAGAGGCAGCAAAACAAAAATTTGTAGTCCCTAAGTCTTGTCAATGGTAGAGGCCGCTTCTGTGTCTCTGTATGGAAGACTGTCACTTGGGCCTGTTATTATTCAAAGCGTATGTTCATTTACGTTTATACTGCACATATGTTTAATATTTTTATACCCCCGCAAACGAAGTTTTGGGGGTATATTGGAATCAGCTTGTCCGTCTGTCTGTAGACAAGATTTTGTCCGGATCGTCTCTCAGAAACTATTGGATGGATTTGTCTGAAAATTTGTACAATTATTATTCACCATATAAAGGTGTGCACCTGGTATTTTCATCATGATTGGATGATTTTTGTGCATTTTATAGGCATTTTTTCTTTTTTATTTTGTTGTTTTGTTTGGCTCATAACTAGAAAACGATTAGACTTACAATCTTGAAACTTGGCCAATTTATGCATCTTGGGTAGAAGGTGTGTCATGACCTATTTCAAGGTCACAGTGACCTTTAATTAAAGTGAAATCTTTTACAATTGAATTACACAATCCCAAAAATGTAAGGCTGTTGCAGAACAATTGTATCCCTATTTAAAACATGTTAAATTAAGATTTTTTTTTCATTATATACCTTACAGCAATCCATAACAAATGTTATCTTATAAGAGAAAACGTACCTCTCCCAAGGGTATAATTATCAAGCACTGGTCAAGGAGAATTTAGATAACAGAAAATTGCATGTCAAATTAGAGAGAAATTAATTAGTTTAGTGCAAGGAGCTAACTGGTAGAACTTCTCTCTGATCAAGCAGTTATCTGTCTCTTGGGAACTGGGCTAAGAAATCGGCCTAACTTACTTAATGAATTTGAGAAAAAGCTACTTCAAACTAATTTGGTATTGCATAATAAACTATGACATTGTATAATAAACTTAATTGATATTGTATAATATAATTAAAACTAATTATATTGTGTGTGTGTGTGTGTGTGTGTGTGTGTGTGTGTGTGTGTGTGTGTGTGTGTATGGGGGGTGTTATGTGAAATGTGTGTGTGTTTGTCCATATGAATTTCAGATTGAAACTTTTAGTCTGATATCAAATCCAAATGAATCAAGTATTCAAAAAAAAAATTGGTAGATAGTCCCTACAAATCTAATAATCATGCAGGAACTTTATTTAAAATGATACATCAAGATTACACAATTTTTTTTTCAGTATAAATCTTTGTAATAAAGTTATACAAAATCTTTGTTTTCAGATTTAATTTCAGAATGAAACATGCAATCATGCATTTTGTTTGCACTACAAAGGAGAGAGTTAAGATCCATGTACCCCTTGATAGTAGTAACTGGACATGCATCCAGTAAAAGATTAATTGACGAGTTCTATGTAGGGAAGCTAGCTGTCTCAATCATTTCTCTTAGACTAGAGCATATCTCTGATCAAGCAGCTCTTATCTGAATCCTTTGGGAATTGGACAGAAGTGCTGGTCACTTTAAGAGGCAGTCCGCCGAAAAACCAGGCAGGGTTGTATTAATAGGCGGCACATCGAATGTTACGAATAATTGAAATTTTATTGAAAACAATATCAATGTAGTCCAAATGGAATAATGTAATCGAAGATTTGTTTTAAAATTGCATATTTAGTAAAATATCCTTTTGTTTCGTGTTCTTGAATTCCCCTATATAAACTATTGAATTTAGGTCAGAAACAACGAACTGTAATTTCCAATACTTTTATCGTTGAAAACGAAAAATTGACATGTCTAAACCCTAAAAATATCAAAAAAATAATGTGTCCCAGTTACGGGGTTTTATCGGACACATGATTACACAGATATCGTGTTGATTGAAATCGCCATCTTCACTTACACATCTCTGACGTTACACACTTCTAGATTACGCATGCGCGTGTGTAAAAAAAGCGGAAGTCCAATTGTTTGAAGCGGGATACAATAAACATGTGGAAAAGAAGACACAGAGGAAAGCCTGGGCACAGAATCCTAGATTCTTTTGATAAGGATGATTTTTATGCTGGAAAACGGTATGTTATCTACTTCTTGGATAAAATATATGGTTCGAGGAAACTTGCATCAAAGTATTGAAGGGGGGGGGGGGGGGGGGGCAGTGACGATTGCTGCATAGGCCTATCGGGTACCCAGTTGAAATGAAAAGACAGTTATTTATGCGATTTTCTTTCTTGAAATAGTACACAATTTATGCTATTCATTTCACAATGATTTAAAATTCATCAAATGAAAGGTATATTAATCGAATGTGTTTTGTATTTCATGTCAACATGAAATGACCTTTACTAAGTTTTAACTGAACTAAATCCAGTCCACTTTAATTAGAGAAAATGGAAATGTAGTTTGTATGTGTGAGTTTTTTTGAGCCAATTGTGGGATCGGGTTGTACCACCCCCCCCCCACCCCCCCCCCTTCTTCTTGAGATCTGCAACTTATTGTTTTTAAAGCAAAACCTAAGATTGGGTTGTACCAAACACCTCAACAACCCACCCCCTTTTTCTTGAGCTCAGCAACCTATTTCTGGTGTTGTTTTCTTTTCATTTTTTAAAGCAAAAAGTGAGATCGGATTGTACCCCCCCCCCCCCCCTTTTACTTGAGAGAGAACATATACAGTGTAGTTATCAATTCAACATATATATTTTACTTGTCCTATAATATATAGACATTACTTAATACAATAATAGCCTATCTCAATTTTACTCATAATGCACTTATTATCTACTGCTAAAGAGCAAATAATTGAATATTAAGTGTATATTGTTTTCATGTTGTTTATATTAAAGAAACTTGGGCTGAAGCATCTTTTAATTTAAAAAGCTACCACATTAAATTACTTATATGACAGTACAATTCATTAAGTGACAATTATATTTTCCACATTTTTCTTAATTATTATCATTTTACAGCATTCTTTTAAATAAAATCACATTTGATCTCTCTAAGGGCCTGTACAGGTTATGGGCATTGGAATAAAAATGCTCAGAAAGGAAATATGGATAAAAATGTACGTCTTGAAAAAATTTTATTAGTGAATTTTTTTTTCATATAATTATTATCCTTAAACATGTTAAAAGATATAGAATTAAACTAGAATATAAAAATCATGCAAACTTGTGTTTATTAGATTTTTTTAATCAGGTCATTATATCCTAATTGGCTAAAGCAGGACATTATACCCCTGGCCCTGTCGTTTTTATTATGTCCAATAAAAATTTTATATATTTTATTTTGCATTTTGGCACGATTCTCATAGAAGATAACAATATTTATTATTTCCAATAAAAATGATATTGTGTATGCACCAAAATTGACAAAAAACTATTTATTATAATCAGTCAGGACATTGTACTATAAGGGCATTATACACTTCCGGTGTAAACAGCTTACTCAGGAACTGAGGAAGCAGGTAAGGCATGGTTTGGACTGAAAAAAAACCCACGTCCTTGTTTGATTCCTTGAAACGATTGTGGAATTATGTTCTGGAGACTTGAAGTCTGTACAAAGACACACTACTTCAAAGTAGTTTCATGTCGACCGCTTTATACCTGTTAGACAGAATCATGGATAAGCCTTTCCGAATTCCCTCTGTTTAATTCTCCTTTCACTGTTAGTGTGTTTGTTTATATACAAACAGCTTTGAAATTGAATTTTTAAGAGATCATTATAATTTTATATCATATGATATGATCTTTTTTAAAGCAGGGTGCAATGTATTCAATTTTTGTATCCTTTCTATCAGAAAAGTCATAGGCTATAATAAGAATCATTTGACTTGTTTAATGTATTGTGGTAGTTTATTTATGTATTCTTAAATTATTTCATTTCAATCCAGATGTAAATTATCTTGCTTATATTTGGAAACACCCATTTTTATGCGACCATCAGATCGGGGAGGAAGACGACTGGCTTAATTCTCTATAGCTACACTCTTCACATACTAGAATCATCTTTTTCAACTTGTCCATCTGTTTATATTCAATATTGCTTTTATAGTTTATATTTTGGTTAGACTAATCACTATATTTTGGTAGGGGGTAAATTATGTACATTGTACGTACATTATAGCAGTTTTCTGTAAGACTTGTAATAAATTTGTAAAGTTGGAATACCAATATTGACCTCATATAGAACAACACCTACATGTAGTATCGCGAGTACCTCACAGATATAAATTCTTACTACCGCTCTTTTGCAAGGGAGTAGAGAAGGCTCTAAATCTCACAATTTAGATTTCTGGGGTATATCAATGCTTACACTAGTGACAATCAATAAATATAATTATGATTCAAACAATCATGCCGAAAGTACAGTGAATTGCCAAGGATTGAACTCTAAATAGTACAAATGTAGCTAGATTATCAAATAAGGAAAGTTAAAGTATTTATGAAGTAATGATGTTCAATGAGAATTTAATGAGAAAAGTCCGCTCTAAAGAGAAAAGTAATTGTTAAAAATGTAACATATGAGGATAAGCTCCTCTCTCAGATTTATTAGGCTGGTTCAGCATATGTTTAGCAAGATATTTCACTAGGATTTCTTTCTTACTGTCTGCAGGATTATTTTTGCACCATTTAATTTTTGCCCTTTCACACTTGCAAACAATTTTGCCCATTCATAGTTTTATTACAGAAATTATATGTATTGTTTCATTTTGCCCTGTTTTAAATTTGCCCAAAAGGGGCGAAAATAAAATGGGAGCGAAAATTTTCCTGTATACAGTATTTGTCCTTGTAAATTTCATATTTTGATCTGATGATTCCCACCTGTCAACGAGACGTGATACAGCTCTTCAGATCAAGTTACTGTTATAATGACATGTTTATTATATACCCCGTTACAACTAGTAAATAAATGTATATTTAAGAAATATGCAAGAGAAGAATTATGTCAATTATGTAACATTAATCCATTACATGGAAGTTTTTGATATGCAAGAACAATAACGTTATGTTTCTGCATACTAAGTCTTCAGTTGCCGAGAGTAGTGGAATGGATTCAGAAAACCACAGTGTGGTGATCTGCAAAGTTTGAATGTCACCTGATTGCGTAAAATCAACATTAAAATTAGGCTTGAGTATCACAAGCTTCCTAACGATACGATACATAACATGATATGGTCATGTGATACAACACGTATTGTGATACACTAGGTGTCATTAACAGTTAAATTAACTGATATGCTTATATTCTTGCTCACTAACCCCCAGTTATAGAAAATATAAAAAATATCTTACCTAACCAAAGTTATTTATAGGCCAACTTATAGTCTTAACATTGTATTTTTTTATACTACCTTGTTTTCAGTCATTTTTGTAGCTTTAAAAGTTCTCAGTTTGCATTAAAAGTTCTCAGTTTGCATGTAAAATTTTTTAATAAGACAATGAAAATTAACTTGTACTGTATCACGATACATACATGACGATACGATATACATATCGTGAGGCCTTGCGATCAATACAATCGATGTATCGCTGTATTGTTACACCTCTAATTAAAACTGAGTGTTACACTGTTGGGTATATCTATAATGCAACCTACATTAAGTACATACAACAACACATGATATCAGAGTCTAGACACACCTAATGTCACATGACATTTGACAAGCCCATCTTATTAAAAAAATAAATCAGTATCTGAGCTCATCCTAATGGTTGCATCGTCAACATATTACGAATTAATAGGATGATTTTCTCCTATAGTTTGGACTTTCAGTAGCATATGGCATTCTCGGCGCTGCGTAATGGTGAATACTAGTAGATTCTTATTGGTTAAGAAATTATAACATCAAGAACTTAAAATTATTGTTGACAACGATGAGGCGACTTATGCCTCACCTCTGTGCCGTGTGAGAACATTTGATTGGCAATTTACTACGCCAGTTGACATTTGGCCGCATTTCTATCATATGTATATTTCAACAGTGAAGGGAAGCAGTGTAAATTTCAGAAGCAAATTAGGTAACATCGAGAATGCCACACCTTACTGAAAGTCCAAACTAATCGTATAATGGTCCTATTTCTCAGGTATTTTGATTGTATGATATCCAACATTTTAGAAATCACAAAATTCTATACTAATATTAACATTACATTTGGCGTGCATTCTTTTTAGCACTTTGGGGGGAAAGAAACTTCCGCTAAGTCAAGTACAGTATGCTGAATGTCTTGCACATATGTTCATAATTAAGAACTTTATGAAATGCACTAAATCAAATCTATACGCTAACTTGCTCAAAAGTCAAATATTATATTTTTATTACACACTTAGTGATAAATACAGGTTTTTTGCATATTGCAATATGGCTGCATGATGTCACAATAGCTGTATCAGCCCTGCAGGGCTGATATGGATTTGCGGGGCTGATAACCTATATCAGCCCTGCATATCCATATCAGACCTGCAGGGCTGATACGGCTATTGTGACATTAATATCACACCCTTAATAAATTTAATTAAACCACAAAAACAGTACTTGTGATCATACACAATTTTTGGTGGGTTCATATTCTTGTAATTTTAACTTTTTGAAAATAAAGATTCTTTAATCTTAATTTACAAATACATGTAATAGATTATTTTCAAATTACAGATTGAGTGCATTGAAATAGAAGTAGAAACTAACCCAAATCGTATGAGACAATAAACCATGTACATATAGTATGTTAGTTTACTGAGGCCGAAGGCGATTCAAAAGTCAGCCAATTTATTCATTGTTATTAAATGTTATTGAATTTCCAAATGTTTGACACGTTTGTTCTTGTCTCCAACAAATGTATACACTCGTGATTTAAAGCATAGGGTAATAACACATTATGATAAGTGTTGGCAAATCGGACGATTTTTATTAAGCGGTTACTCGTTTCATCTTCCGATCGAGTACCCGGTTACTCGGATGATTTTTGGTAAAAGCATCAATATCTATTATTTATCTTTTTCTATACTTATCGGTATAGTAATCTGCAAATATACTGTATATGGACATAATATTTACAACACATATGATATCATCAAAGATTTACTGTTTTAAAATAAAGAAAATAAGGAAGTCGACACACGGAGAAGACAAATAAATATGTCATTGTCAATCACCATTTTACACTTTCCTTTTCAGCCCCCGAAATATGTCGCAATCAAGGAGAATAATTATTTACATACTCCATAATTAATAGTCAGTATGTGGAGTTTCCAGTAAATCGCTGGTTTCCGAATATTTTAAGATTAGGTGATTTAACAGATTTTGAATCAGCTGTTCTTCTGGTAAACTCCAAGCTTATTATGTCTGCGACGGCATCTTGTTAAATTATCAAATGAGGTAATTATAACTCAGGTCTTCAAAAGATATATACCCCAGGCGATCAAAGCTATCAATTATATAAACTGTGAAAACTAATCAAAACAGTTTGATCCACTACAACCATGCACTAGATCAAGTCTAATGGTATCTAAAATTAGGGAAATGTGTAATTTAGTATACCGGTACATTTATAAATTATTAAACATTTATTTCTATGCCTTTACTATGGAGAATTCATTTTATCCAAGCAACCGAATAGCAGTTTTACTAACCGATACTCACATCGTTCGACAGTTAACCAGTTAACTGGGTACTCGTTGCCAACACTTAGATTTATGATTGTAATTTATCAGCTACTATCATATTTTAAAAGTGGAAAAAATATTATTAAACAATAGATACTCAACTATTTACTAAGAAAGTAGTTTAGTGCATTGGTATCTAGCATGGTAACATTTGCAATGACACATGTTTTAAAACGCCCAATTTGATTGGTCAAAAAATGTTAGCAAATCTATGGTTGGTCAACATGGTCAAGAGGGAAAACCCAAAAACCTCCTAGAACTTTAATTTGAAGTGAACTCACTCTGAGGTACACCCCAAAAATGCCCAAGGAAAAGGTGTCTAGTCCAACCAGAGAGCACCCTAATCCCTGATCATTTAATTTCTATGCTTCTTGTATAGGAATGGGAACTCAATAGTATTACAAACTTTTACTTTGAGAATAAAATTGATAAATTTCTGTATAAAAATGCTTTTACAACATGTATTTAAGATTTGTTCCTACTTTTAAAAAAATTCCAATACATTCTGAATTTAATTTATAATTTTTTTTGTTAGAATGTTCAAGGCAACCAGAAGCTTGAGTCCATCCTGAACATAGAGACAACACAGATATTAGCCAAGCTAGATATTGCTAGAGGATTAGTCAATGCAATTCAGCAAGGACTAGTGATGGATATGTTCCAGGTTCCACAGCTAGGAGAATGTCAGGAAGAAAAGCCTCATCATTAAAAGTGTTACAGGTGAATTATTTAGGAATTTAAAAAAATAAATAGGATAGATAAAGATTCACCAGGGAATGAATTTTTTGTTGGTTCATGATCACATCTATTGAGAAGCCAAAGGCAAAAGTATTGCATGCAGTAAATATTGTTTGGATGTAATCACACTTATATCATTGTATATAAATAACCTTTATCCGTATTGATAAATATTTTGAATTTATTTCAGATAATATAAATCTAAATTCATTACTTTGTCAAATTATATTTTCGTTTCCAATGTCTTTGTTCAAGAGACAATTACAAATAGTCAAATGAATGCACTTTATTTCTCCATCAATATACTGGTTCATTGATAGGCGCTGCTAAAAAAAAATCACGTGCAGGGCGGAACAAATATAGAGACAAGAAGCAGGGCTTGTAGCATGTTTATTGGCGGAATCAATTCTTTGTAAATATAAAAAGAATAACTGTCATTTTCAATTTCATGACAATGATCAATCTATCTGCTTGCATGATAACTTTATGCATAAATGCCTTCTGCATTTATGCAAATTATCACGCCAACCAATTGATTGATCACATCATGAAATCGAAAAATAAGACAGTTATTCCTTAAATAACATTTTTATTCATTTATTTGATACATGTTGTATGAATTTTGCCAGCATCTTCAGATGGTGAAATGTCAAGCAAAAAGTGCATTCCAAGCCCTCAAGAAGTTGTGTCAAGCCCTAGTCGTGAAGGCATTCCAGATCTAAAGAGTAGAAATGGACCTATATGTATGGTTTTATTGATGAAAATATGCCATGCCCCAGTGACAAAGGTGAACCAGTTTCTAAAAATGGAGATGAAGCTTGACCCTGGAAAGAAAGCATGTCTGTCTCTAATGATAGAGATGTGACTTTATCCAGGGACTGAGATCTGCCAGTTCTAAATGAAGGAGATTTGCCAGGTGCTGATATTACTGATATCCTACATGTGGGTCCCATCTGCTCAAGGTTCCAATAGTGAAAAATCTTGGTTAGGAATGAAGTGTCATCAGGTATTGCTTCTATCAAGAATCTTCTTTCTTTAGAATTAATAAGATTAAAGCTTAAATTATTAGGGCCCGCAAGGATTTGCGGGTGCCCTGTAGTAATCACTCTGTCTGTCCGTCTGTCTTCTTCTGTCCACAAATTTTCTGTTTTTTCCTAATAACTTTTTTTATGGTAGCCCAATTAAGTTCACATAGGAAAATTTTTTAAAAATCTTCTTCTCAAGAACCACTGGGCTGGGAAAGATGAAACTCATGTGAAATTATCCTCAGGTAGTGTCGATTCAAGTTTGTTCAAATCATGACCCCCGGGATAGGGTGGGGCCAAAATGGCCGATCAAAGTTATATATAGGAATATATAGGTAAAATATTTAAAAATTTCTTTTCAAGAACCACGGGGCCAGGAAAGATGAAACTCGTATGAAATCATCCTCAGGTAGTGTCGATTCAAGTTTGTTTAAATTATGACCCCGGGGGTAGGGTAGGGCCAAAATGGCTGATCAAAGTTTTACATAGGACTAGATAGGGAAATCTTTCAAAGTCGTCTTCTCAAGTACTTCAAAGCCATGATTAGTGATATTTATGTTGAAACATCCTTAGGTAGTGTAGAATTAAATTTGTTCAAACCATTATAACGCCTAAGGATAGGGTTGGGCCACAATGGTGAATCAAAGTTTTACATAGAAAAATAAAGAAATAAATCCCAAGAATAGAAAAGCTATGTTTAGTCATATTGACATGTAAGCATCCTCATGTATTAAGGATTTAAATTTATTCAAATCATGGCCCTTTGGGGCAAGAAGGGAAACAATGGGGAATCAAATTCAAATTATTATGAAGTTATATATAGGAAGAAAATGTTTTTAAAAAATCTTTTTATCAAGAACAGTAAAGTCATATGCTGTGTTTATATGAAGGCATTGTCAAGTAGTATTAATTCAAGCCCCCCTCCCCACTTTTCAGTAAACTTTTCCTGATCTGATTTGTGCTTTTTCCTAGCCGATTTGCTCAGGTGAGCGATGTTGCCCCTGGGCCTCTTGTTTGAATTACTGGGATCAAAGCTGTTGATTATTGCTCAAAAGTTTATCATATACTTACACATTTTATTCTGGTTGAAATGTTTGTAATTTTACAATTAAGTTGCAATTTTTTCAGAGGCACTAAAGGAAACTGATGGCATTGTTTTTGAGAATAAGAGTGAGGAGGAGATAGATGACAGTCAAGACAATCAGGATGTCCATATTGTCACTCCAGGTACTGTATACACACTGCATTACCCATTTTAAGCAATAAGTTTCTTAACTTGAAATTATATGCAGAAACCCAGCATGGCCAGCCAGTCTACATGCATGGAAAATTTTCTAAAGACTTGATATTGAGTATTACCAGTAGAGCTTCAGTCTAAAATGCAAACAGGTGGTTCTATTCAAGGATAGCCAGAGTATAGTTCAGACAGAAGTTATTTGCATTGATTGAACTACTGTAGATCACTAAATTTTTGCGACACCTTATTTTCGCGAGAAAGTCATTGACTCTTGATTAGCGAGACAAAATTTTCGCGAATTGTGGTTATTGCTCTATATAATCTTAAGGAATACTATTATACGCGAGAATTAAATTTTCGCGAGCACACTGTCTCGCGTAAGTACACGAAAATAAAGTTCTCGCGAATAAAAAGTGATTTACAGTATACCAATTTCAGTCATAACATTTCACAAATATGTCTTCTGAATGTAGATGGAGGAGCTAGCTGAGATTAAATTCCTAATCAACAAAATATTTTACTGGATGTGAATTTATATAGCAAAGCTTTCAAGTACACAGACCATACAAATAAAGAAAGTACCTATGTATCACAAATATACTTATTGGCTAGTAAACAATCATTCTCCTGCCAGATTATATTTCAGATGAAAAAAATTGCTTTAACTCTTATAGCTATTTTTATTATTATTATTTTTTTTTGTACAGACCATACCACCAACCAAGGAAAATTATATTTTGAAAATATCATTTTAGGGAAGAAGAAGTCATTTCTGATCTACTTTGGAAGATCCTAGATCTACTTTGGAAGATCTACATGCAAGTGACAAGAGATACAAAAAAATCCCAAGGACATCACGAGAAATGAATTTAATCAACAGACATTGCGGAAAAAATTTTATAAAAAATTGTAATAGGACCTTAGAGAAGTGTAAAACACCAAGGATATAATCTTGTTAAAAAACAGAGAAAATCAATATTAACATTCTACTTTCAATTGATATGCTTTGAGAAATATGATAAACACTGTGTTTTAAAGCCACAGTAATGGAGGACATTGAATTCTTTGCAGCAGTTTTATCATTAGGCCATTTCAATTTTTTTCTGTTTTTAGTGTCTGTGGATGGATTGGTTTTGAGGTCATGCAATCAAGAACAAACACAAAATGAAATTGACAAATACAAATCTTTGACAAGCAATTTACTCTTCTGGGATCAGCATCTCTCTTTTTTGAAAGTGATGTGCTCAAGTTTTTTTTTTTTTTTTTTTTTTTTTTTTGTTTCATTAAACTAGTAGTAGTAGTAGTTTAATTTAGCTATAATATGAGGAAAATTCTCAAAGAACTTTGCGTAAAATGTTGTTTTTTCCCCTTTTGTTTTGTAATTTTTTTTTGGAAGGAAAGAAATGTTTTGAAATTTAGGTTGGATGCTAAACAAAGAAAAAAACTTGGAATGGCCTCATATAACCTACATGGACTAAACTGGCATAAATGAAGAGTGCTTAAGAAGCTGTGCATGATGTATGTAGGAAATGATTTTGAAGTATTAAATATTTTATGCAAAAGGAAATTTTCTCAATTTAGTTAATTTTTGCAAAAAAATATTGCTGTACTTTTCTTATGTGAATTGAATATAAAGAGTTGGGTTTGATGCATAAATAGTCCTGTTCTTATACTAGTTCTTTGAGAATCACCCCCTGTCCCATTTCTAACATCAAAATAAAGTATGGAGTATTTCTCATTTCCTTTAACAAAGATTTTTTATAGAGTCCTGAGATTGGAAGTTAAACAAGATTTCAAATTTCTTGAAATATTAAAAATGCAAAGGAAGGAATTTTCAGGATATGGGAGAATTCAAATGGGACATTGAGACTTGGTCAGTTAATTGGTATATATATGGAGGGCCATTTTATGGATAAAGTGAACCTAGCTCTTTTCACCATTTCAATAGATTACACAGTCACCAAGTATCAAAATGATAAACTGATGCATTGGTTACCAAAACTGAGTACTTTTGATTTCTCACAATTCACAGGGCCAAAAAAAGCTTTCAGTGAATCTTGCTCTTTATTACATTTATGTCTGTAAACTTTTACCATGTGCAAACATCCTTTGTTTCTAGAAATGCCATTATCTTCTGTAAGTCCCCAAACTTTAACATGTGTATAAGGTCCTCAGTCTCTATAAATACCTGTATATCATGTGTAAGTCCCCTAACTTTTAACATGTGTATAAGGTCCTCAGTCTCTATAAATACCTGTATATCATGTGTAAGTCCCCTAACTTTTAACATGTTTATAAGGTCCTCAGTCTCTATAAATACCTATATCATGTGTAAGTCCCCAAACTTTTAACATGTGTATAAGGTCCTCAGTTTCTATAAATACCTGTATCATGTGTAAGTCCCCAAACTTTTAACATGTATATAAGGTCCTCAGTCTCTATAAATACCTGTATCATGTGTAAGTCCCCTAACTTTTAACATGTTTATAAGGTCCTCAGTCATAAATGCCTGCATCATGTGTAAGTCCCCAAACTTTTAACATGTGTATAAGGTCCTCAGTTTCTATAAATACCTGTATCATGTGTAAGTCCCCAAACTTTTAACATGTGTATAAGGTCCTCAGTCTCTATAAATACCTGTATCATGTGTAAGTCTATAAATGTTTATAAGGCCCTCAGTTATAAATGCCTGCATGTGTAAGTCCCCAAACTTTTAACATGTGTATAAGGTCCTCAGTTTCTATAAATACCTGCATCATGTGTAAGTCCCCAAACTTTTAACATGTGTATAAGGTCCAGTCTCTATAAATGCCTGCATCATGTGTAAGTCCCCAAACTTTTAACATGTATATAAGGTCCTCAGTCTCTATAAATACCTGTATCATGTGTAAGTCCCCTAACTTTTAACATGTGTATAAGGTCCTCAGTTTCTATAAATACCTGAATCATGTGTAAAGTCCCCAAACTTTTAACATGTACATGTGTATAAGGTCCATGTGTATAAACTCCTCAGTTCTCTATAAACAAATATTTTATGTGTATTTAACAAGTTTCAGTATTTTTCATAAATGACAATCATTGAAATAATTTGAATGTATCATGTGTAAGTCCCCAAACTTTTAACATGTGTATAAGGTCCTCAGTTTCTATAAATACCTGCATCATGTGTAAGTCCCCAAACTTTTAACATGTGTATAAGGTCCTCAATTTCTATAAATACCTGTATAATGTGTAAGTCCCCTCTTTTAACATGTGTATAAGGTCCTCTATAAAAATACCTGCATCATGTGTAAGTCCCCAAACTTTTAACATGTGTATAAGGTCCTCAGTCTCTATAAATACCTTTATCATGTGTAAGTCCCCTAACTTTTAACATGTGTATAAGGTCCTCAGTTTCTATAAATACCTGTATCATGTGTAAGTAGTAGAAACCTTTGAGAGATTTTTCATGTATGGTAGCTTCAACAATGTTCCACTCTCATTTCCAAACTTTTAACATGTGTATAAGGTCCTCAGTCTCTATAAATACCTGTATCATGTGTAAGTCCCCAAACTTTTAACATGTATATAAGGTCCTCAGTCTCTATAAATACCTATGTCATGTGTAAGTCCCCTATCTTTTAAACTTTTAACATGTGTATAAGGTCCTCAGTTTCTATAAATACCTGTATCATGTGTAAGTCCCCAAACTTTTAACATGTGTAAGGTCCTCAGTTTTTCTGTGGGAAAGACAACCCATAAATACCTATTTTCGAATAGTTTCTCGTCATGTGTTTCCCCTTCTTTTAACATACCAGCAGTGGCTCGGCTGTTGTCCTCATATAAGTTTTCAATTGTTGACTTCATAAATACCTGTATCATGTGTAAGTTTTTTGTCTGATTATTTCCTTTTCTTTCAATTCCTCCTTCAACTTTTAACATGTATGTAAGGTCCTCAGTTTCTAATTTCTTCCTAAATACCTGTATGTTCATGTGTATGTGTAAGTTTTCCCTTTTCTTTGGTGTCTCCCAAACTTTTAACATGTGTATAAGGTTATCATTAATATCACTTAATTAACATACATATGTCCCTTCTGTTACCCACATTAATTATTTTATAAAATCAAATCTAGATACATTACTTTATTTATTATACTTTTCCTATATTGTCATAACATATATTTTCAAAATTAAAATAACAAACAGATTTTTTTGAACATGTGTTATTTTTGTCCATTCTGTTATAAAATACCTTATAGTATTTCACATTCTAAGAATAATTTCAATAAATAAAATATGCTCATATGACAATAATTAAATATGATCGTTATATAAATAAATATTTCTTTTTTTTTATTAAAAATACATGTGTAAGTCCCCTAACTTTTAACATGTGTATAAGGTCCTATATATTTCATACTTCTATAAATACCTGTAACATTGAATTAACAGGAAAGTACTTTGAAAGTCCTCAGTCTCCACAGAAAACAACTTTTAAATTTTCAGTTTTAACATGTGTGTGACATGTTACCTCTGTACAAATTACAGGCAATTAGTGAAGTTAATTCTAAAAATATCAGTAAAATAAGAATAGCCATATAAAGTTTAAAGATTGTTCATATATTGCAGTGCTCTTATAAATGCATGCATATGTGACATGGATTTTCTGATAGTTTTAGATATAATTTACACCCGTGTTGATTTTTTAGATATACCTGTATATTTTTCTTTGAGTCCCAAAACTTTTAACATGACCCATATAAGGTCCTCAGTCTCTATAAATACCTATGTCATGTGTAAGTCCCCTAACTTTTAACATGTGTATAAGGTCCTCAGTCTCTATAAATACCTGTATCATGTGTAAGTCCCCAAACTTTTAACATGTATATAAGGTCCTCAGTCTCTATAAATACCTATGTCATGTGTAAGTCCCCAAACTTTTAACATGTGTATAAGGTCCTCAGTTTCTATAAATACCTGTATCATGTGTAAGTCCCCAAACTTTTAACATGTATATAAGGTCCTCAGTCTCTCTAAATACCTATGTCATGTGTAAGTCCCCTAACTTTTAACATGTGTATAAGGTCCTCAGTTTCTATAAATACCTGTATCATGTGTAAGTCCCCTAACTTTTAACATGTGTATAAGGTCCTCAGTCTCTATAAATACCTATATCATGTGTAAGTCCCCTAACTTTTAA